GCAAAAAGAAATCACCGCTTTGGCTCCATCTACAATGAAAATCAAAATCATCGCCCCACCAGAAAGGAAATACTCCGTATGGATTGGAGGTTCAATTTTGGCTTCATTGTCCACTTTCCAACAGATGTGGATCTCGAAACAAGAATACGACGAGTCTGGTCCATCCATTGTCCACAGAAAGTGCTTCTAAGTTTGTTGAAAGTTCATTATTTATTTTTTTCTCTTTTTATATGATATCGCCTGCATTCCATTACTCCACTTTTTTTTTTTGTATAAATATATTTTGCGATATTTGTGTCGCTGTGCGACAAAGTACTGCCATTTCGTTTTTTTTTGAGAGTGAATTGAAGATCGTTTAAAAATATGCACTAGGCCAAAGTATTACTACTACTATACTACTGTACTATCATATTGTTCATTAAATAATGTGTTTTTTTTTTTTTTTGTAATAAGTTATTACATAATGTTGTGCAGAATAAGACTCTATATTTTACTTATATATATAATTAATTACGTTTTTTCTAGGCTAATAAAATATGGAAAATATTTAATAAAAAAATTGTAAAAATTTATTGTTTTGTTTTGGTAATTACATTCCTGATAAAAATAGCAATGGTGTGACTATGTAATAGATAGAAATCGTTATCTCTATTGCTATGGCACTTGCTGTCTTCTTTTCTCTTTTCAAAATCAATAGAGATAGAGAAAATATCTCTCTATATTTGTTACATAGTCCCAAAGCAGGGTTTGGTGAAAATAATAATTGCTAATTTGTTTTTTGGTTCAAGTCAAAAATAATATCAGATGTGAGAATAATAAATGAGTTCTAAAGTCTTTTTTAACTAAATTTTCTTGATAGTTTGAAATGCTTTAGAGCCAAATTACCAACCGACTGGTAACGTCTTTGGTAAATTTATCCTGCTTAAACTTGAAATCAGTTTTTAGTTTTATAAGGACCAAATTATGGACCCACTGGTAAGTATCTGGTTGTTACCTAGCAGGTACTTTATGTTTTATAGAGCATGGAAAGTACCTGCTAGGTAATAACCTGACACTTACCAGTAGGTCAAATTATGGACTGACTGGTAAACGTCTGGTTGTTACCTAGTAGGTACTTTCCATGTTCTAGATAATAGACAGTACCTGCTAGGTAACAACCAGATACTTATCAGTTGGTCCATAATTTGGCCCTTAGCAGAATAAATTTGCCAATGACTTTACCAGTTGGTTAACAATGATAGTATCTGAACATTTTATAGATGGTTTTTAGTTTGGAATCTTCAAAGGCTTTATGTAGGACATTTAGAAATATGAATTATTTTTATCAAATTAATTAAAATGCATTAATTCTGATTTCCTATTGAATAGTTTCTAATGCCCGTATTACATCTGTGTATTTTTCCGTGTATTTATTCATGTAGTTCAGGGTGACAACCGAAAAACTTCAAACCCAATATATATAAGCATTATGAAAAACAAAATAATGTTGGCACCCTGAACTACATGAATAAATACACGGAAAAATCCACAGATGTAATACGTGCATAATGTTGTTCCTTGAAACTTTCTTGATGATCATTAGTTTAGAATGGAAACTTCACTTTAGCTATCTTATGATTTAAATTTTGGAAAACTTTGAAAGGTCATAACTTTGTTTCTATTATAGATAAAAAGCTGAAACTTTCACTGAATTTTATCCCAATCAAGGGACTACAATCCCTGAATTTCAGCTCATTTGTACTTATAGTTCCTGCGATAAAATTTTGTTAAGCAATTTGGGGTGATTTATCGATTTTTCAATTTTTCTGAGTGCCTTTTTTCATATATTTCGGCTTTAAATCTGAGAATAATTTAGTGTATGGAGTTTGATGGATGTTAATTGACCATTACGATACGATACAAAATCTCGACAAAAAAAAAATTTGTAAGAAGTTACCTACCTACCTTATGATTTACATTCAATGCACCTGAAAAGTTTCAAAATTGAAATTATTAGATATTGAAAATTGTTCTATCCTCGAGTATTTCAGCCTTTGACAGTGTGTAAGGTTCGAAGTCTTTCAATTTCTCACACAAGTAAGTTTGACTTCAATAATCTAACTTCTGCAAAAGATCAAGTTTCGATCTTGAAAATCATGAATCTCCTTTTTGCCTTTCTGATTTCTTTGTTGTATTCTGTGAGGGTTTCTGTGTAGGTACCGCTGTCAGTCTTGGATATTCTAGATAAATATTCTACTGAATGAAGTTGTCTATTGTCTTACTAAAGCTACATTTAACTCTCAATAAATTCAGTTGCAAAGCTTCAAAGTCTTTTGACTTAGATTTTTATCCAAAATGACACCAACACACATTTTGTCTCACAACTTTGTTAATTTCAATCCGATTTTGATGTAATTAGGCTTGAATTAAAGCCAATTGAATTCTCTATAAATGTCGTATGATTTATTTCAATACAGCTTCAATATTATCGAAGCTATGACACTTCAAAGTCTTTAGAGCTTGATTTCTAAACTTGTGAAATTTCAATTCAATCCGTCATACATTATCCTCAAAAAAATAAATAAAACGTCCCTTAATGTCCTTGAAGAATCACAAGTCCAAAGGGTCGGGGTCTATTTAAATTGCGAGCCCGCAGGGTCGGGGTCTTTTCAATCCCGAGCCCGTAGGGCGAGGGTTTTTCTGATTACAAGTCCGAAGGACTGGGGTCTTTTTAAATCTTTATCTTTGGTCTTTGTGAATTACTAGCTCAAAAGGTATATATATATATAGATACACGTTTCGCCTCATAACTTTGTTAACTTCAATCCGATCTCAACGTAATTAGGCTCGAATTAAAGCCAATTAAATCCTCTATAAATCTTTAATGAATAATTTCAATGCAGCTTCATTAGTTTTGAAGCTGCGGTGCCTCAAAGTCAGATTTTTGAAATTTGATTTTTTTGAAAATAACATTGATACACGTTTTGCCTCATAACTTTGCTAATTTCAATCCGACCGTAACGTAATTAGGCTTGAATTGAAGCCAATTAAATTCTCTATAAATGTCGTATGATTTATTTCAATGCAGCTTCAATATTATCGAAGCTGTGACACTTCAAAGTCTTTAGAGCTTGATTTCTAAACTTGTGAAATTTCAATTCAATCCGTCATACATTATCCTCAAAAAAATAAATAAAACGTCCCTTAATGTCCTTGAAGAATCACAAGTCCAAAGGGTCGGGGTCTATTTAAATTGCGAGCCCGCAGGGCCGGGGTCTTTGCAATCCCGAGCCCGTAGGGCGAGGGTTTTTCTGATTACAAGTCCGAAGGACTGGGGTCTTTTTAAATCTTTGTCTTTGGTCTTTGTGAATTACTAGCTCAAAAGGTATATATATATAGATACACGTTTCGCCTCATAACTTTGTTAACTTCAATCCGATCTCAACGTAATTAGGCTCGAATTAAAGCCAATTAAATCCTCTATAAATCTTTAATGTATAATTTCAATGCAGCTTCATTAGTTTTGAAGCTGCGGTGCCTCAAAGTCAGATTTTTGAAATTTGATTTTTTTGAAAATAACATTGATACACGTTTTGCCTCATAACTTTGCTAATTTCAATCCGACCGTAACGTAATTAGGCTTGAATTGAAGCCAATTAAATTCTCTATAAATGTCGTATGATTTATTTCAATACAGCTTCAATATTATCGAAGCTATGACACTTTAAAGTCTTTAGAGCTTGATTTCTAAACTTGTGAAATTTCAATTCAATCCGTCATACATTATCCTCAAAAAAATAAATAAAACGTCCCTTAATGTCCTTGAAGAATCACAAGTCCAAAGGGTCGGGGTCTATTTAAATTGCGAGCCCGCAGGGTCGGGGTCTTTTCAATCCCGAGCCCGTAGGGCGAGGGTTTTTCTGATTACAAGTCCGAAGGACTGGGGTCTTTTTAAATCTTTGTCTTTGGTCTTTGTGAATTACTACCTCAAAAGGTATATATATATAGATACACGTTTCGCCTCATAACTTTGTTAACTTCAATCCAATCTTAACGTAATTAGGCTCGAATTAAAGCCAATTAAATCCTCTATAAATCTTTAATGAATAATTTCAATGCAGCTTCATTAGTTTTGAAGCTGCGGAGCCTCAAAGTCAGATTTTTGAAATTTGATTTTTTTGAAAATAACATTGATACACGTTTTGCCTCATAACTTTCTCTACAAATCTTTTCTAAATGTTTTTAATACAACTTCAATAGTTTTGTAGCTGTAAAGACTTTTGACTTAGATTTTTATCCAAAATGACACCAACATACATTTTGTCTCACAACTTTGTTAATTTTAATCCGATCTTAATGAAATTAGGCTCTAATTAAAGCTAAATAGATTCTCTACAAACCTGTTAATCAAAATTTTAATTCAGTTTCGTCAGTTTCACACCTGAAAAGCTTCAACATTGAAAATTTTCCAAAAATGACAGTTTTTGCCTCAAGTTACTTCTAGTAGTAATCTTCGAGGAAAGTTCCTACTCATTTTCACTTTTGTATCTAAGCATTGTTTGATTGATAAATACCTATCAGCAGATCTAAGCTCTAAGCCCACTGGATTAACGATTTCCAATTTTTACTGCCGAATCAAGAGCCTGGAATAATTGAAATTCAAATTTTGATTATTTCTGCCTGCATGGCTTTTGATAAGCTACAATACCCTATTTTCCCTCAAATTTTTATTCAAAGAAGCTTGTTAGGGGAGTTGGAATTTTCACTCTATGTTTTATTTAAATAGTAACCCAATCATAAAATCTGGAAAAATAATTCTTTATTTTGAAGTTTTGAAGTCAGTATAAAACTACATATTTCCAAGCACGGCACAAACAAATCTTGTTCACGTTTCTTGGCATAAAAACTACTTTATTATTGATCCAAGATCTATTTTTGGGCCACCAACTTGAACTCTTACATAAAATCAATTTTTATTGCCAAATATGCGACAAAACAATCAAATTGTCTTTTTGTTTCAGCGATTTTAAAAAATGTGCGACGAAGAAGTAGCTGCATTAGTCGTAGACAACGGTTCTGGAATGTGCAAAGCTGGTTTTGCCGGAGATGACGCTCCTCGTGCAGTTTTCCCTTCCATCGTAGGACGTCCCAGGCATCAAGGAGTTATGGTAGGCATGGGCCAAAAAGACTCATACGTAGGTGATGAAGCTCAAAGCAAACGAGGCATCCTTACTTTAAAATATCCAATTGAACATGGAATTGTTACCAACTGGGATGATATGGAAAAAATCTGGCATCATACTTTTTATAATGAATTGCGTGTTGCCCCAGAAGAACATCCAGTTCTTTTGACTGAAGCCCCATTAAACCCAAAAGCAAATAGAGAAAAAATGACTCAAATTATGTTTGAAACTTTTAACACTCCTGCAATGTATGTAGCAATCCAAGCAGTACTTTCTTTGTATGCATCTGGCCGTACCACTGGTATTGTTTTGGATTCAGGAGATGGTGTCTCTCATACAGTCCCAATATATGAAGGTTACGCTTTGCCTCATGCTATTTTGCGTTTAGATTTAGCTGGTCGTGACTTGACTGATTATTTAATGAAAATATTAACCGAGCGTGGATATTCATTTACTACAACAGCTGAAAGAGAAATTGTGCGAGACATTAAAGAAAAACTCTGCTATGTTGCTTTGGACTTTGAGCAAGAAATGGCAACAGCTGCTAGTTCAAGCTCTTTGGAAAAAAGCTACGAACTTCCTGATGGCCAAGTAATCACCATTGGAAATGAACGTTTTAGATGCCCTGAGGCCCTTTTCCAGCCCTCATTTTTAGGCATGGAAGCTTGCGGTATCCACGAAACAACTTACAATTCAATAATGAAGTGCGATGTTGACATCAGAAAAGACTTATATGCCAATACAGTACTTTCTGGAGGTACTACAATGTATCCAGGCATTGCTGACCGTATGCAAAAAGAAATCACCGCTCTGGCTCCTTCCACAATGAAAATAAAAATCATTGCTCCACCAGAAAGGAAATACTCCGTATGGATTGGTGGGTCTATTTTGGCCTCTTTATCCACTTTCCAACAAATGTGGATTTCCAAGCAAGAGTACGACGAGTCTGGACCGTCTATTGTTCACAGAAAATGTTTTTAATTTCATGCATTCCAATAATAATTGCTTTTTCTTGAATTTTGGGTCACAGAATTGACCAATAATACAGTATTAAAATAATTTGCATAATTCAATAAACCAAACAAGTATGGAATAATTAATTTGAAAACCCTCATTTTTATTTTGTAATAAATTGTTACTGCGATGATGGTATTTGTATTTTTAAAAGACTTTTCCTGTTATATACTTGTTATAGTAAATTTGTGGGTCTTACAAGAGATTCAGTCAAAAAATCCCTTTACAAGTTACATATTATTTCATTACCCCAATTTGTGTTGTCTTGGTCTACAGAGGCGATATGAATTTACTGATTCTGAATTAATTACCAATTCAAAATAATAACTATTTTCCTATTTATTTCTTACATAATGAACTTTATTCAATCAAATTACATAGTCATATTATATAAGTAAATTAAAACTATTCCCAATTCTAACGCGAACTGCTCCTGGAACTAGACCTCTTCCTCCTCCTAATAGGACTCCTAGAATGAGGCCTCCTCCTAGGCGGACTCCTCATCATCCTCCTAGGCGGTGAACGCCTCCTATACCTTGGCGGAGGACTGCGCCTATAATTCATCCCCCTTCTAACAGGCAAAAGCGGTGACCGCCTAGGAGGTGGAGGTCTAGGCCTGGGAATCAAAACCGGAGCCGCAGTTATTTCTTGCCCATCAATCTGACCACCATCCATGTTTTTCATGGCAGTTTCAGCTTCGTCAGCGTTGCTGTACTCTACATAGCAGTAGCCGGCGCTTAAATGAGAGTGGTTGCGGTCTTTTGGGAATTCAACATGCTTAATGGTGCCGTAAACGCCGAAAATTTCGTTTATGTGGTCTTTGTTGACTGTGCGAGTTAAACGGCCGATATGGATTTTTGTGGGGCGCGGGGTTGGGGATCTTTTGCGGCGTTTACGGGCCGAAAGGGATCTTGAACGGTTTCTTGAGTCTTTTGCAGGTTTTTCTTTAGTTGGCGACAGTTTTCTGTCTTTTTCTTTGTCATCTTTTTTAGCTTCGTTTTTTTCTCTGTCCTCTTTCCTCTCCTTCAAATCCTTATCTTTGATGTCATTGCTGCGCGTTTTACTGCTCGCTTTGGCTTTTTTTGTCTCAGACCTTGAACTATTTAAACAATAACTTTATATTAAATAATAAAATAAATTATTATAGTTACCGTCTTTTTGGCCTAGTTCTATCATGTCCACTGGATGAGCTGGATGAATCTGAACTAGAACTGCTAGAGCGTGAAGATGAAGCTGAACTGGAGCTGCTCGAACTCGACGAACTACTGTCAGAAGAACTGGAATTTTATGTTCTGAATATTGCAATTCTTATTATAAAATTGTGTTTTTACCTGCTCCGACTGTCGCTGCTACTAGAGCCCGATTCAGAGCGTTTTTTGCGGTCTCTGCCACGTTCTTTTTTCTTGTCTTTTTGATCAGGCTCAAGATCTGTTCCAGGTTTTGCCCTGAAGGAAAATTAAACATCAAATTTTTTAGAAAAAGGGCCTGTTTAACCTCATACTTACATTTTCTGTGATGTTAATTAAGGTAATTTGCACTTAATTATTATTTTTCAATTCAACTAATCACTCGAAGACATGAATAAATAATTCAAATTTACAAAAAATTAAAAACTTCTTGATATTTTAGATGTCCAATGTGGACATTACAGGAACAAACAAAATGGCAAATTTGACAGGTATGATGACGCTAACAGTGTTGCCAGATTTTTTTTTTTTGAGTGACTTCTGCTATTGGATAATAAATGTATTTTTATCTCTTTCTTATACAAACTGGTGAAAAAAGACACCAATAAAGTAACGTACGCACTTTGCTATAAGATTGGGAATTAAAATCATTGAAATCAAGGAGAATACACGCTACTAAGGTTTGCTTATCGGCCTTGTTTTTGGTATCGCGGCCATATTGCATTGGTGGTGTATCACCATTGCCGACGTCACTAACCAAGTCGTCAGGTGTTAGTAGTTTGCGCCAGCGGTCCTAGTTTAGAATATTTTATGATGAAAAATATTATTTAATTTTGTTTAAGAAAGAATAGACAAAAAGGAAGGTGTAAAACGAGATTTAAAGAGGAGTTGTTTTATAACGATTTCCATTTGTCAAATAAGTGCAAAAAAAAATTTATCCTTATCCTTACATGCTAAATGCTTTTAGAAAAAGATGCAGATACCTTCACTCACTGTGCGCTGACTGATAAATGGAAATCGCCATTAGAGCGGGTATTATAAAACTACTTTGAGAGTTAACTTAAAGTTAACTTCTGGAATTACATGTAGGTAATTCAAAAAATTAACTTCAAGTTAACTGTCAAAGCAGTTTTAGGCCTGTGTGTAACAAATCCCCCCCTACCGCCTACGCCAAACAACCAGTTGTGACGTAAGCAGCACGCAGCATGGCGTTTCTCGCCTTGACGTAGACTCTTCAAATAACTGACGACTTCGATATGTCGTCGGCAATGGTTGAAAACAGTTGAAAACTAATATGACGGCGATTACCAAAAACGAGGCCGATAAATTACCGACCATTTTATGGGAGCCTTGACGATAAGTATTCCCTAAAATGACAGTCTTCCATGGAGAAATGTCAGTTGAAGGAATACTTATCGTTAAGGCTTCCTTAAGGGCGGGTATTATAAAACTTTTTTGACAGAAAACTAAAAGTTAACTTCTGAAATATCTAATTCCAGAAGTTAGCTTCTAGTTTTCTATCAAAATACCCACCCTAAATTAGTTGGTGGAAACGGCCATAATTAATGTAAAGTCCGTCTGTTTTAGGGTGGGTATTATAAAACTGCTGACAGTTAACTTGAAATTAACTTTTTGAATTACATGTAATTCCAGAAGTTAACTTTAAGTTATCTATCAAAGTAGTTTTATAATACCCGCCCTTAATGTGCTATAATGCAGACAGCCTACGTCAAGGTGAGAAACGACATGCTGTCTACGTCACAACTGGTGATTTGATGTGGTGGGGGTTGGGTGGCTTCAGATTTGTTCTAAACAGGCCTTATGAAGATAGGCTATCCTGTAGTAATAGTAGTAGTAGTGTGTATTATCCTTGATATGAAATAGTTAAAAGTGCGAGAATGCCAAATTTCTCATTAGTAAATAATTCCATAACATTGTATTACTAAGCGGCAACACAGCACATCTTTAATTTGATTTTATCTTCTGTTCTACGTGAATCGATATATTTATCTTTGTCTAGCTCATGTGAATTTGTCCTTGTCGAGTCAATAAAGAGAACTTATTCTCAATTTCTCTTAAATTTTTTCTTTATATTTCTCAATTTTCTCAGCTCAATTTTTGTCTATTCCAGGCTCTTGAATTTTGTTTATTTTGACAAATTCAAAAGCCAGAAATTTGTATTTTTATCTCTTTCTTATACAAGTTGGTAGAAAAAGATACGAATACACTCTCTGCGCACTAATTCTTCCAATAGAATTCGTTGATTCGATGTAAGATGGGAATATGAAGCAAAATGCGAGGATGCCGAACTTTCCATGGGTGTATCATTCTAAAAATAATTGTAGTACGAAGCGGCAACATAGCACATTTTTAATTTGATTCTATCTTCTGTCCTATGTAAATCGATATATTTATTTTTGTCTAGCTCATGCAAATTTGTCCTTGTCGAGTCAATAAAGAGAACTTATTCTCAATTTCTCTTGAATTTTTTCTTTATATTTCTCAATTTTCTCAGCTCAGTTTTTGTCTATTCCAGGCTCTTGAATTTTGTTTATTTCGACAAATTCAAAAGCCAGAAATTTGTATTTTTATCTCTTTCTTATACAAGGTGGTAGAAAAAGATACGAATACACTCTCTGCGCACTAATTCTTCCAATAGAATTCGTTGATTCGATATAAGATGGGAATATGAAGCAAAATGCGAGGATGCCGAACTTTCCATGGGTGAATCATTCTAAAAATAATTGTACTACGAAGCGGCAACATAGCACATTTGATTCTATCTTTTGTCTTACGTGAATCGATATATTTATCTTTGTCTAGCTTATGTGAATTTGTCCTTGTCGAGTCAATAAAGAGAACTTATTCTCAATTTCTCTTAAATTTTTTTTTTATATTTCTCAATTTTCTCAGCTCAATTTTTGTCTATTCCAGGCTCTTGAATTTTCTACATTTCGACAAATTCAAAAGCCAAAAATTTGTATTTTTATCTCTTTCGTATACAAGTTGGTAGAAAAAGATACAAATACACTCGATGCGTACTAATTCTTCCAATAGAATTCGTTGATTCGCTATAAGATGGGAATATGAAGCAAAATGCGAGGATGCCGAACTTCCCATTGGTGAATCATTCTAAAAATAATTCTACTATGAAGCGGCAACATAGCACATTTTTAATTTGATTCTATCTTCTGTCCTACGTAAATCGATATATTTATCTTTGTCTAGCTCATGTGAATTTGTCCTTGTCGAGTCAATAAAGAGAACTTATTCTCAATTTCTCTTAATTTTTTTTTTTTATATTTCTGAATTTTCTCAGCTCAATTTTTGTCTGTTCCAGGCTCTTGAATTTTCTTTATTCCGACAAATTCAAAAGCCAGAAATTTGTATTTTTATCTCTTTCTTATACAAGTTGGTAGAAAAAGACAAGAATACACTCGATGCGCACTAATTCTATAAGCAAAATGCGAGGATGCCGAACTTCCCATTGGTGAATCATTCTAAAAATAATTCTACTATGAAGCGGCAACATAGCACATCTTTAATTTGATTCTACTTTCTGTCTGAGGAAAATCGATATATTTATCTTTGTCTAGCTCATTTGAATTTGTCCTTGTCGAGTCAATAAAGAGAACTTATTCTCAATTTCTCTTAAATTTTTTCTTGATATTTCTCAATTTTCTTAGCTCAATTTTTATCTATTCCAGGCTCTTGAATTTTCTTTATTTTGACAAATTCAAAAGCCAGAAATTTGTATTTTTATCTCTTTCTTATACAAGTTGGTAGAAAAAGATACAAATACACTTGATGCGCACTAATTCTTCCAATAGAATTCGTTGATTCGCTATAAGATAGGAATATGAAGCAAAATGCGAGGATGCCGAACTTCCCATTGGTGAATCATTCTAGAAATAATTGTACTACGAAGCAGCAACATAGCACATCTTTAATTTGATTCTACTTTCTGTCTGAGGAAAATCGATATATTTATCTTTGTCTAGCTCATTTGAATTTGTCCTTGTCGAGTCAATAAAAAAGGTCTGTTCCCACAGGAGTCTCCGACAGTTTGCAACCTGTCAGAAACAATCGCTCAGCTGAGTTACAGATTGATCTTGGAACGACAGCATTGAAAACATGTATGGGCGATTCTTACTGACAGTTTGCAAACTGTCAGAGACTCCTGTGGGAACAGACCCAAAGAGAACTTATTCTCAATTTCTCTTAAATTGTTTCTTGATATTTCTCAATTTTCTCAGCTCAAGTTTTGTCTATTCCAAGCTCTTCAATTTTCTTTATTTTGATAAATTCAAAAGCCAGAAATTTGTATTTTTATCTCTTTCTATACAAGTTGGTAGAAAAAGATATAAATACACTTGATTGATTCGCTATAAGATGGAAATGATGGGAATATGAAGCAAAATGCGAGGATGCCGAACTTCCCATTGGTGAATCATTCTAAAAATAATTGTAGTACGAAGCGGCAACATAGCACATTTTCAATTTGATTCTATCTTCTGTCCTACGTGAATCGATATATTTATCTTTGTTTAGCTCATGTGAATTTGTCCTTGTCAAGTCAAATAAGCAAACTTTTTCTCAATTCCACTTTGTCTGAGTCCGGCTTTGCACTCCACAGAGCGAAACGGTATAAACTTGGATATCGTGACGTCATACGCGGTCATAAGTTCAACGCAAAAGAGAACACTCTGAGAGCTGAAAGAAACAGTCTCGAATTCTCTTTGCATCGACCAATACAAGAGCCAGGAATTTGTATTCTCATCTCTTTCTTATACAAGCTGGTAGAAAAAGACATGAATACACTCGGTGCGCACTAACCCTTCCAATATAATTCCCTATTAAAAAACACTCTGTAGATTGAGTTCAGGACTGTTTTTTGAGAAATTAATAGGGCCTCTGAAAGACAATCCCAAAATCACAAAATTTTGTCTTTATACAGGGTGTTTATAAAAAGTTAGAGGCCTTTGAACTTTAATGTATCAAGTTTTAACACTTTTTTCAAGTTTTTTATACATCCTGTATTAAGTTGAAATTGGAGGAATTTTATAGAAGATTTAATAAGACTGTACCTAAGTACCCCAGTTAAGCCTAGTACTCATAACTGCGAAATTCGCACTTTTTTGACATTGCTTCGACAATTTGACGTTTGATTCACACATAAAACGTCAATTTGTCGAAGCAATATCAAAAAAGTGCGAATTTCGCAGTTATGAGTACTAGGCTTTACAGGGTGTTTTTTTAGAAATAAGGCTATTTATGTAGGTATTACTTTATAAAAAAATAAACATCCTGTAGATTGAGTTTGGGATTTTTTTTTTGGAAAATTCCAAATAGGGCTTCTCAATGAACTAGAGCTAAAAACTGGAATGCGCACACAGTGCCATATCAGCCAAAAAAATGAAGCCATGAAAGACAGATGCCACATTGGGGAATGTTGTTTTTTTCTGTTGCTCGCTGACATATGACGTTTTCGAAAGTTTTGTCATATTTCCCTTCACAGGTTTCAGCAATTGGAATACGTGTTGGAAGCAATTTTCGCCATTTAACATAATGAGTGCGACAAAAACAGGTATCCCCTCCGCAGCAGCCGCACTAGGCTTCACGTTCGTCCTTATGTGTTGGCATTCCAGTTTTTGGTTATAGTTCATTGGGGCTTCTGGAAGGCAATGAATTGCTCTATGAAATCCCAAATGTTATCTTTATACAGAGTGTCCCTAAGAAGCTAGAGGCCGAGGCCTTTGAGCTTTAATGCATCAAGATTTACCAATTTTTTCTAGATCTTGTATATATAAAATTGGAAGGATTTTATACAGGATTTGATACGATTGTATTTGAGTTTTCTTCTAAAAATCAAAAATCCTCATTACAGGGTGTTTATTTGATTTGGAAATAAATCCATTTGTGTAAGTGTAATACTTTATAAAACACCCTGTAGATTGAGTTTAGGATTTTCCTAAAGAAATTAAAATTCTGTCTTTATACAGGGTGTCCTTAAGAAGCTAAAGGCCTTTGAACTTTAAGGCATCAAGATTTAACAATTTTTGTATACATCCTGTATAAAGTTGAAATTGGGGGGATTTTATAAGTATTTAATAAGACTGTATCCAAAAATCGAATACCCCAGTTATAGGGTGTTTATTTGGAAATGAAGCTATTTAAGTATTACTTTATAAAACACCCTGTAGATTGAATTTAGGATTTTTTTTGAGAAATTCCAAATAGGGTCTCTGAAAGGCAATGAATCGTTCTATAAAATCCCAAAATTTTGTCTTTATACAGGGTGTCCTTAAGAAGCTAGAGGCCTTTGAACTTTAATGCATCAAGATTTAACAATTATTTATACATCCTGTATAAAATTGAAATTGGAGGGATTATATAGAGGATTTAATAGGATTGTATTTGATTTTTTTTTTTCCAAAATCAAATACACCAGTTACAGGGTGTTTATTCAGAAATAAAGCTATTTATGTATTACATAGCATTAAGATTTAATGATTTTTTAAAGTTTTTTATACATCCTGTATAAAGCGAAATTGGGGGAATTTCATAAAGATTTTAATAAGCTTAATTTAATTTTGTTCCGAAAAATCGAATACCCCAGTTACAAGTTGTTCATTTGGAAATAAAGCTATTTATGTATTACTTTATAAAACACCCTATAGATTGATTTCAGGCGATTAATTTCTTCATAAAATACTAAAATTTTATCTCTATACAGGGTGTCAATGAAAAATAAGAGGCAGAATCCAAAAAGAAATTAATTTTTTTTCTATTCCAGGCTCTTGAATTTTTTTAATTGCGATAAATTCAAGAGCTAGGAATAGACAAAAATTGAGCTAAAAAAAAAATTGAGAAATAGAGGAAAAATGTAATGTTATTTCCATTACAGGCTCTTGAATTTTCTTTATTTAACAAATTCAAGTGCCAGGAATAGACAAAAATTGAGAAGAAATTCAAATGAATGTTTGTCTCCATGTTGCCAAATCTTTGTTAAAATCTGTATCTCCAGTGTATATTGATTATTGAGTAGTGAGAAACTTGACATCTTGATTAACATTTGGTTAAAATGAAAATTACGCATTTCTAATCTGAGAGGGCATTTTCAGTCATACTAAAATTTTGCAAAATACCTACTATTCACTGTTCAATCAATAATAAAAAGCAATCAATCAATTGTATAATAATCATTATATTTTTTTTTACAAAATCAACTGTTTTCAAATTCAATCAACAATGTGGATGTAAAATCGTTTCTTTAGCTAAAAACATAGAAGATCGTAGAAGGCAACGTGGACTCAATCAGTAAATACTTTATTTTTTCCTGTAGAAACAAGCTTCAGAAAAAATTTAAAAATCACAATTAATTACATTAAAAAAAAACCAGGGATTTTTATTTTATTTTTTTGTTCATAAGTTTCCTAACTAAAATAACTATTACCGTATCAATAATAATATGTACAAAAATTGAAACATACTGTTTTTCTCAGTTTATATAAGTCACTTCCACTTTAATACCCCAGTAGCATTTTTATTCAATATCCGAAGACATGGCAACATCTCCATTACTACCTATCACTAGCGCATCATCTTCATTAAAGTCTAGACTTAACACTGAAGACCTTCTAACTCGTTTCGCGTGCGTCCTATCAATATCAATTTCCGAATTTTCTGTTTCACAAACACCACTATTTTCACCATTGGTCCTGCTGTTGCAAATTTTCAACACAGCGTTTTCTTTTTGTAAAGTCTGAGCGAAATCTTTTGACCGTTTTAGTTCAGTTTGTAGAAATAAGATTGTACTTTGCATGCCTTCTACGTCTTCGTCTAAGTCGGCTAAGAATGAGTCCAATTCATTTTGGGATTGGCGCACTTCTTCTGAAAAGCTTTTTTGCAAAGCCAAATCACTTTCTAGTTTGGCTATGCGACCTGAGCTTGTGATTTTGCCTAGTTCTTCGTTTTCTTGGTATAAGAGGCGGCATTTGGCCATGAGTCTTTTACCTGTATTACTGTCAGGGGTGAATTTCCAAGCTGAGAGCTCGTTTTGTATGTTTTCTAGTTTAGTTTTAGTTTCTTGCAGCTCGAGACGTAATTGTTGCAGTATGCTGTTTACTGCTGGATCTAACATTGCTGAGCGCAATGAAGGGATTGTTGGGGCTTGGGAGTTTTTAAGTTCGTTTAGCTGACACTGTTAGGGGAAAAGAGGTTCAAATTAGAGTTTGTACAATATATAAATAAAATTAGCACTTAAAATGTTCTTAACTATGTCCTTGAATTTCAGTCATTTTTTCTTTTACAATAAAAGTTTTACATGTATGTTTTCATCCACAATTGTAGCACAAATTCGCACTATTGTCAAAAAAGCCAAAAAAAAATATGAAACACTTTTTGAATCACAAAATTGCACATAGTCAAGTCACATTAAAATTGAATTAATACACTGTCACTTCATAGGCACATAGTTAAGAACATACGAGGGCCACTTTGTTGATACTGACCACATAATCTTGAGTTTCCTGTTCTTTGGCGGTCAACCGCCTCACAAGTAACTTTTCCCTTTGCTGTCCCTCGTGTAATTGATTACGAACTCGTTCGTTTGTCTGTCGTAAATCATGTAGATCCCCTGCAAGGGACACGGGCATTTTTAATTTGCACTGAACCCACTACACACCACTTAATTTTATACACTAATGATAGAAACTTGAACTAAGTACCTTCTTGAAGAGCCAGTTTCCTTTCCAATGTAATGATGTAGGAGTCCTGCTGGTGCCAACGGTTGACCCATTCTGTGGGGGTCAAGGCTGCTATTTCGGTTTCGGAAATTAGGACCCTCGAAGGGGCCTTGTCCCTTTCCGCAGGGCTGGAGGGCTGCTGGACGTCTCCTGCTTCCGACATTTTATCTATCTACTAAAAAATCGAATTTTACAATTATTATTTGGACCGCCATGTAAAATGGGCTTTAATTTTTTTTTTTTGACCGGCTGTAACTTACTTTTTATCGATATTTTAAAGGGTTTTATTATTAAGCACTACTAAACTGTCTTTCTAGTCCTACTTATATTAATAATTTCACTTGAAAACACCATTAAAACATTAATTTTTAGCAGTTTTACCAATGAATGAAATATTTATTAAAAACGGGACGACGCCATTACTCACATTTTGACATTTGACAATTTGAATTTGAAAGCTAAAGAGAGGGCGCTTTATTTTTTTTTTTTTTCCGGTTATATGTCTATCTTTGTCTAGCTCATAGAAAATCGGAATAATGGTGGATAGGATATATCCAAACGATAATCCTAACCTAACTAAAACTTAAGCATCCAAAAATCAAAATAAAATTAGATTATTGTTAATTTCATTAAAAAAATACAATGGAACCAGATTCAGGAGCGGTAAGAAACGTAAGTTACCAATAAACTAATTATTTACTCCATTTAATACAAAAATCCTTGTAGTTTAGAGATTTCCTTCAGCTCTATAACAAAATGACCGAAATGTGTTTTCAAAGGTGCGTGGACAATTTGAATGCCAGGAAACTGGATCTTGTAGAACAAGAATGCGTTGGAGATTGCGCCCAGAAATTTATAACTTACAACAACAAATTAATGCAGAATTTCGTTAAAACTCAAGGGGAAATTGTCAATAGAAGGGTCAAAGAAAACGAGGAAGAACAGAAAAGTTTAGAGGCACAACAAGAAGTTGTAATGAATCAACAAGTGTCCGCTGTTAGTTAGTTTTGAGGGTATTTAAAGCCATTGTAGATTATTTAAATATTTAATAAATAATAATCCTTTTGTCAACAACAGCTGATTTAAGTACAGTGTTGCCATTATTACCTTTTCTTGACTGATTTACTTTGAAACTTTTCCAGCAGATTACAAGTTCCTGATATAAAATATCATTCTATTTTGATGTGGAGATTAATTATGTGTTTTGCCAGGTTGCAATTAATAATGTTAGAGTTTCTTTTCAAAAGCTAAAAAGTTTTATAGACTAGTAAAGTACTTACAAGTTGGCAACCCTGGACAGAGGCAGAAATGTCAAAGTAAATGTAAACAAAACAGTTTTGTGAGGTTAGATTTCCACTGCTTTGGCATTTGGTAGGACAATTTTTTTAATTTTTAAATAATTTCCTTAAAAAACTCCATGGTTGTATATTAAAAATGAGCTCCAAAGAAAAAGACGGTAAAACGTTCAATGCCCGGTTAAAGGATTTTTTCAAAAAGCCGCTAGGTAAGGTTTTTGTCTTTCTACATTTTGTCCCTTTTTACATTGGAATTTTTAAGGTAACCCCGGTGGAAAACACGAGTTTACCCTGTCTCAAGAGGTTATCAGAGACCTAAGTAGAGAGTCACCCTTGCAAACTAGACTGAAAACCCTCAAAGATTTGTGCAGCGTTGTGGAAAACGAAAAACTAGCTACTGTAAGAAATTTTAGAACATTACACTCAATGTACAGGGTGTCAAGTTATAAAGTACCACCCCCTGTAACTTTTCCATTTTTGATAGTACATGAGAGAGTTACAGGAGGTTATTCTATGCAGGGGGTGGTACTTTATAACTTGACACCAGGTACATCTAGTTATGACCATATTTCAACACCTTTACCAATATATTGTTGAACCTCTAAGGACCAGTTTATTAGTGAATAGCTATCTATGTAGGTTAACTAATGATAATATTATTAGTTAACTGATAGCTAAACTTAATAAACATTCATTGATAAACCAATCCTAAGGGCAACTAGATCAACTGTTTGTTAGTAAACTATAACTTTAGAATGTGCTACACGAGGTGCTACACAAGAATAATGTCATATTGACATCGAAACATTCTAAGGTATTTGTTAACAGTTAACTAACAGAGGCTTAACAAGTGATTGATCTAATGCAAGTAAAACATATTATTAATAGAACTTTTAAGACTACTTTAATTCCAATTCCAAAATAGTGAATTTACAAATTGATTGAGTGGAAACTTTGAAAAATACAGCCTGAAATAGTTTGATTATGAAGGGAATTTTTCAATAATTCCTTTTTAGAATGTTGTTGAAAAACTATGGAGTTGCACCGAAGACCTATACTCAAAAGACCACACAGAAGCCAGACACCAACTCTTCTTTTTCATGCAATGCCTAGTAAAAGGCCAAACCGAAAGACTAACCCTAATGAGGGCCCAATTCTTCAGACTAATAAAACACCACGACCATCCCGAAGACATCGGCCAAAAGCTCGACTTACTAATAGCCCTAACCTCAAATGGCAAAGTGGTGCTATTTTTTGAAGAGGAAATTGGCAGGTTTTTGCTCAACTGGCTGCCAGAGATTTCGCAAGTTGGCAAAATCGAAGATTATCTAATGATGATTGACAATGTTATTCACTATAATGCCGCTTACCTGGACGAAGAAATCATCAATGGATTTATTGAGTAAAAATCTACCATTAATAATAATTGTTTTTTAATATTTTATTATTGTTGTAGGCATATTTGTTTATTGTGCAGCCCCACCAGTCAAAGTACGACTATAAAATTGTGCCTGCAAACAATGTCCAGCATTGTAGCTTACAGCAACATGTCGCCGGACTCTTTGCCGAAGTTTATTGGAGCCCTTTGCAGGACTGTTATCGATCAGAAATATTGCCAGCGAAGCTGGCAGGTAATAGTTAATGTTTTTTTGATTTTTGTTTGAATTTTTATTATGTTTTACTTCAAAGCTTTTAGAATAACTGCTCAAAATTTCATATTTCTGCCATTTGTAGTTTTGGAGTAAATAATTAGGATATCATGGCTTGTTAAAGTCTTTTTCATTAAAAAAGTGTATTTGTAACTTTGTTGTTTGCATCTCAGTTGCTTTGAAATTTTAGTATGTTTTGCTCCAAAGCTTTGAAAATTACTCCTCAAAATTTCAAATTTCTACCATTTGTAGTTTTTGAGTGGATAGTTAGGATATGAAGGCTTGTCAAACATGATTTTATTAAAAAACTGTATTTTTCTAGAAAATTTGTAACTTGGTTGTTTGCAGCTCAATTGCTTTGAAATTTCAGTATGTTTTGCTCCAAAGCTTTAAAAATTACTCCTCAAAATTTCATATTTGTGCCATTGGTAGTTTTTTGAGTAAATAGTTAGGATATGGAGGCTTGTCAAATATGATTTGGCTCGTAGTTTTTGAGTAAATTATTAGGATATCAAGACTTATTTCACTAAAAAAGTGCATTTTCTTAAAAAGTTGTAACTTTGTTGTTTGCAGCTCAATTGCTTTGACATTTTAGTATGTTTTGCTCCAAATCTTCAAAAATAACTCCTCAAAATTTCACATTTCTGCCCCTCGTAATTTTTGAGTAAATGATTAGGATATCAAGACTTATTTTACTAAAAAAGTGCATTTTCTAGGAAAGTTGTAACTTTGTTGTTTGCAGCTCAATTGATTTGAAATTTTAGTATGTTTTCCCTCAAACCTTCAAAAATACCTCCTCAAAATTTCACATTGCTGCCCTTTGTAGTTTTTGAGTAAATGATTAGGATATCAAGACTTATTTCACTAAAAGAGTGCATTTTTTAAGAAAATTGTTACTTTGTTGTTTGCTGCTTAATTGCTTTGAAATTTTAGTATGTTTTCCTCCAAACTTTCAAAAATAACTCCTCAAAATTTTATATTTCTGTCTGTAGTTTTTGAGTAAATGGTTAGGATATCAAGACTTATTTCACTAAAAAAGTGCATTTTCTAGGAAAGTTGTAACTTTGCTGTTTGTAGCTCAATTGCTTTGAAATTTTAGTATATTTTGTTCCAAATCTTCAAAAATAACTCCTCAAAATTTCACGTTTCTGCCCCTCGTAGTTTTTGAGTAAATGATTAGGATATCAAGACTTATTTCACTAAAAAGTACATTTTCTAAGAAAGTTGTATCTTTCTTGTTTGCGACTCAATTGCTTGGAAATTTTAGTATGTTTTGCTTCAAATCTTTAAAAATAACTCCTCAAAATTTCACATTTCTGCCCTTTGTAGTTTTTGAGTAAATGATTAGGATATTAAGACTTATTTCACTAAAAAAGTGCATTTTCTAAGAAAGTTGTAACTTTGTTGTTTGCAGCTCAATTGTTTTGAAATTTTAGTAAGTTTTACTCCAACCCTTGAAAAATAACTCCTCAAAATTTCATATTTCTGCCATTTGTAGTTTTCGATTAAATAATTAGAATATCATTCTAGGTAATGAAAAACCTATTGGGCACCCACATGGGCCATTCAACCATCTACACAATGTGCAGAATAATGGAGGAACCTGCCCTAAGGGCTCACATCGACTTGATTAGAGGGGCAGTGTTTTTCACACGCATGGGCCTGTGGACTATCGACCCTTTGTCCAACTTACAAAGCCCTCCCAGTTCGATTTTACCATCCTTTTTACAGGCAAATTAATATACCATAATAATTATTAATTAATTGACTTCAACATTATTACAGGCTTTAAAAGGAAATCATCCTGCTGTTGCTTATGAAGTAGCTTTGGCCATTCAGCAACTCATTAATAGACATGGATTGGTTTTAATGGACTCGTCTTGGTCAGTTATAATAAGAATAATTTCAAATATTCTTTGCATAGCAAATACAGGTAAGATTTTTGTATAAAAATAATATAATATTTTCTTACAATGATTGATAATTCCAGAACCAAATCCGCACAATATAGACTTGAAATCAATTATAATGAGTTCAATGAATACAATCGAAAACTACATAGAGTTGGGCCAGTATAACGGACACATTGGAAGCTACTATAAGTTGTTAGAAGAGTGTGCAATTGACAGGCCAGACGAAAGCATCCTGAAACTCCTCGAACATTTATCTAAACATTTAAATCCTTGTGATCATTTATGGTTGAACCAACTCAACAATTTGTTTGTAGTGTTTTTCAGAAGCGAAATGCGCCCTGTGATTCGTTTAAAAGTCTTACAAATACTTACAGATATATTTAAATTGAACAAAGAACAATACGAGGAAGATATAATTGATAAAATCGTTATTGTACATACAAGTCTTGTTGTAAACGACCACGACATGCTTGTGAAAACTTCCGTTATCAAAATGCTTGTAGAAATGTGTATGTTTTGCGAATCCAAACGTTGCCTAGAGCTTTTGGACATATTAGAAAGAGTATTTTAATTATAATTTTGCTTATTATTCTATTGATTTTTAATGTTTTCAGTTTCTCAATCGTCCTTTTGATAATGCTTGTCCGGAATCAGACTATCAAGACATTATTTGTTTGGCAACAGGCCTAACAGCTTTATTTGTAAAAAAAATCTACAAGTTACCTTCAGCCCACGCTTTAAGGATTTACACGATGCTTTTGACGTTTTTGGAAAAGCATTATAGCATGCCTGTTTTGTTCCAAGATTGTCCACAAATAAGATACACTGTAAGAATTTCATCAATAATTGATACAAATTATAATAATTGTTTTAGATTTTTGATTGCTTTCTTAAAATGCGTGCCGATTCGCTGTACCACTTGGGATATCCGGATGGTAATCAAATCAAATTCAGCCCTTATTTATGTGTGATTTATCGCAATTCCTTAAACTCGCCTCAGCCTCAATCTCCTGCAATTGTTGCAACACCGCAGCCCTTATGCAGTGTGACTTATTTTTCACTTCGTAAAGCATTCAAAATCATTATAACTTGTTTGAAGAATGAAAAAGATTGGGAAATTTTAAATTTGGTTTTAAGTGGGATACCAAAGGGGCTTCAAAATAAGTCTTTGGTGATTGGCAAGGGCAATAATGAGCTTGATTTGCTTGTTAGTGTACTTTGTTCAATGGTAAGTGGAATTTTTGGTCAAAAACTATGATTAGTAGCAATTATTATTGTAGGTATCCGACAAACAGCTTAATCTTCCAGAATCTTTAAATGTAAAAATAAACAAAGCAGACTTTCATTCAAATATTTCTTTGGTACTGGTTAATTTATCCTCGTACCACTCCTACCTGGACAATCCTAGCCAAACAAAAATGATTAGATGTATAATGAAATGCATACAGAGTGCTCCAAAAAGCTCAAAACCTAGTATTTCTGCTTTGACAATTTGTACTCTTGAAATGAAAGATGTTATGGTTAAAATATTGCCCGAAGTTTTATTGAATTTGTCGAAAATGTCGCCTACTAATCATGTAGCTGTTCCAGTACTGGAATTTCTTTCAAGTAATAAAACAATTTGTGATACAATAACTATAATTATTGTTGATTTTTTCTAGCCATGACTCAGCTACCGACAATTTTCGCCAACTTTGTAGCTGACCAATACATGGCAGTTTTTGCTGTAGCCTTGCCTTATAGCAACCCCTTCAGATTCAACCACTACATTGTATCGTTGGCCCATCATGTGATTGCAGTTTGGTTTTTGAAATGTCGTCTAACATTTCGCAGGGATTTTGTTAGGTTTATTACTAATGTGTGTTGTTTGAATTGAAGTTTTTCAGGTTTAATTGGGGTTGTTTTTCAGGGTCTGAAAACCAATCTTCAACCCAATGAGGAAACGTTTTTCGGAAAGCTGGATTTGACCAGTATTAATCAAGATAGTTCTGACAGGAAACGGTCTTCGAGTTTGACTGAACAGGGTAGGGTTTTGTTGTTTTGAATTTTTAATATTCTTGTAATCCAGAATCCATTTGTGTCTTGGCACTCCCCAATGCTTTTCTTCCAGAGTATTTGTCATCGTTTTCTTATTCCAGGCTCTTGAATATTATTCCTAAAAATAACTTCTCAAAATTTCATAATTCTGCTTACTTTGTTGTTTGCAGCTCAATTGCTTTGAAATTTTAGTATGTTTTGCTTCAAAGCTTCAAAAATAACTCCTCAAAATTTCATATTGCTGCCATTTGTAGTTTTTGAGTAAATAGTTAGGATATGAAGGCTTATCAAACAGAATTTTACCAAAAAAATGCATTTTTCTAGAAAATTTGTAACTTTGTTGTTTGCAGCTCAATTGCTTTGAAATTTTAGTATGTTTTGCTTCAAACCTTCAAAAATAACTCCCCAAAATTTCATATTCCTGCCATTTGTAGTTTTTCAGTAAATAATCAGAATATGAAGGCTTGTCAAACCTAATTTTACCAAAAAAATGCATTTTTCTAGAAAATTTGTAACTTTGTTGTTTGCAGCTCACTTGCTTTGAAATTTTAGTATGTTTTACTTCAAACCTTCAAAAATAACTCCCCAAAATTTCATATTCCTGCAATTTGTAGTTTTTGAGTAAATAGTCAGGATATGAAGGCTTGTCAAACATGGTTTTATATATATATATTGAAGCACATTTCACCTCATAACTTTGTTAATTTCAATGCAATTTTAACGTAATTAGGCTTGAATTATAGCTAATGAAATCCTCTACAAATGTTTAATGAATAATTTCAATGCAGCTTCAATGGTTTCGCTGCTACAAGGGTTCAAAGTCTTCAAAAGTTGATTTTTGCAAAATCTCGAATCAATCTCTCAAAAACTCAAGAGACTGAAATCGGCACAAGTTGAAAGGACAAAAATGAGAAATTAATAGGAAAACTTCATGAAAAAATTAGTAAAATAATGAACTCTGAAACAATAATAGGTCAATCTGCTCAAAATATGTCTATCTACAACAAGGTGTGTCTGCTTTGTCTGTCCTGTCTGTCTACAATAGGGTCTATCTGTCCTATTTGTCTGTCGATAGCAGGGTCTGTCTATCCTGTCTGTTTATTATAACATAGACACATAGGAACAAGGACTCTAATCTGAAGTTGTGAGATCTAGAATACAAAAATATAATACAATTTGTTAAGCCTTACCTCCACATCAACTGAAACAAACTTTTTAGAAATCGTACCCTTACTGCCCTACTAAGATTCTTTTCTCAGGTTCCAGAAGACGTGACGAACGCACTTTACCCGTAAGAATGGACAAAGGCGTAATAATGAAAAAGGGCCAACCTCCCAACAAACAACTGAGCATGTTTTACGAAGAGTTAAACGAAACTTGTTTGGATTTAATGGCGCGATATGCTTTTTCGCCTTGCAGCGCTGTTCCTAGAAGGTAATTTTTGTTTTGTCTATAAAACTCTTGTAACATTTTTGTCTTAGATTGCCAGGGGCAGAATTCCTCTTAAATGAAGGCCAATCAAAAACCTGGCTAGTAGGAAATAAATTGGTCACAGTAACGACCAGTGGTTGCTCTCAAAAAGTAATGAGGCAAGGCCTTTGCGACAAATGCTGGATTATGTGCAACACCAAAACAGACAAAAAGTTTCTTACTACAGGCAGCACTAGCACTGAAACCAGCCGACAAAATTCTTCAAATTCAGTCAATTCGCCTCAAGAAGAAACCGCCAAACTTGTAGAAGAATCAGTCGCTAATCGTTTACAAGAAACTTTTAAAAAAGAAGAAATAAAAGAAGAAAACTACACTTGCGCCTGTTGGTGTCAAGGTTGGGCAGAAGTTTACATTAGAAAACCAACAGGCGATGTTTCTTGGATAATGCGCATCCAAAACGATATCGCATTTACTCACGAAACATATGAGTTTCCTTTAAATGATGTATCTACATTGTACGGGCCCAATGAGGAACCTCAAAGGCCTGTTTTAGTAAGACAAGATACTTTTGACAGCAATAATGATGAGGAGGCAAGTGTAGACACTCCTAAGCCTACAACGTCCCGACAAAACTCTCAAGACAGCATTGAAGAGGAAAATGAAGAAATTGTTTACGAAGATGGAACTAAAGCAAGGAATCCTGTTAGAAGATCCAATTCTAGTCCAGAAATGTCTGCAAGTAAGTAACTATAATAATTTTAATTTAAATTTTAATTATACATATTTAGATTGGAAAAATCCCTTTCACAAACTGGGCTCGTCTTCGTCTGCCTCATCAGAAAGCGACAACACCGAAGACAAAAAACCAAAATTGTATTCAATGGACATGCGCGTTAGTTGCGAAGCAATCCCTGAAGAAATCGCTGGGACAAGTCCGCCCCAAGCGGAACATCCTTCGCTGATTAGTTATCACAGTTTTCCAGGTTCTAGTGAACCGCATATTTTGCCCAAGCTTTATCAAACGGTGCCGCCTTCGCCAGCGATTCAAACGGAGTTTCAGCAAAGGCCTACTAGTTTGGGTAGTTTGCAACCGTTGGCGGGCAAACCACCTCAAAGTCCTACTCAGACTAGTCCCAGATTGTCGAGACATAATAACAAAGGTAAGGATTTTGTTTATACTATTAGAAATCAATTGTTATGTCTGGTTGTTTTGAAATTTTCTTCCCAGGTTTCACAATTTCTGTTTTTTTGCGTATGCATTAGAGGACTACAATCCCTGAAAATTTCAGCTCATTTGCACTTATAGTTCCTGAGATAAAATCGTGTTAAGCAATTTGGGGTGATTTATTAATTTTTCAATTTTTCTGAGTGTCTTTTTCCATAGATTTCGGCTCCAAATCTGAGAATAATTTTGTGTATGGAGTTCAGAGTATCACGAGGGACCAGTAGGACACAAAATCTCGAAAAAAAAAAAAATTGAAATTTCATCATTTTAGTAAGAAGGTATCCCCCTTATGATTTTTTCGGAAAACTTTCAAAGGTCGTAACTTTTTTTCTATTATAGATAGAAAGCTGAATCTTTCACTGAATTTTATCCCTTCCAAAGGACTACAATCCCTGAAAATTTCAGCTCATTTGCACTTATAGTTCCTGAGATAAAATCGTGTTAAGCAATTTGGGGTGATTTATCAATTTTTCAATTTTTCTGAGTGCCTTTTTTCATAGATTTCGGCTTCAAATCTGAGAATAATTTTGTGTATGGAGTTCAGAGTATCATGAGGGACCAGTAGGACACAAAATCTCGAAAAAAAAAAAATTGAAATTTCATCATTTTAGTAAGAAGGTATCCCCCTTATGATTTTTTCGGAAAACTTTCAAAGGTCGTAACTTTTTTTCTATTATAGATAGAAAGCTGAATCTTTCACTGAATTTTATCCCTTCCAAAGGACTACAATCCCTGAAAATTTCAGCTCATTTGCACTTATAGTTCCTGAGATAAAATCGTGTTAAGCAATTTGGGGTGATTTATCAATTTTTCAATTTTTCTGAGTGCCTTTTTTCATAGATTTCGGCTTCAAATCTGAGAATAATTTTGTGTATGGAGTTCAGAGTATCACGAGGGACCAGTAGGACACAAAATCTCGAAAAAAAAAAAATTGAAATTTCATCATTTTAGTAAGAAGGTATCCCCCTTATGATTTTTTCGGAAAACTTTCAAAGGTCGTAACTTTTTTTCTATTATAGATAGAAAGCTGAATCTTTCACTGAATTTTATCCCTTCCAAAGGACTACAATCTCTGAAAATTTCAGCTCATTTGCTCTTATAGTTCCTGAGATAAAATCGTGTTAAGCAATTTGGGGTGATTTATCAATTTTTCAATTTTTCTGAGTGCCTTTTTTCATAGATTTCGGCTTCAAATCTGAGAATAATTTTGTGTATGGAGTTCAGAGTATCACGAGGGACCAGTAGGACACAAAATCTCGAAAAAAAAAAAATTGAAATTTCATCATTTTAGTAAGAATTAAGGTATCCCCCTTATGATTTTTTCGGAAAACTTTCAAAGGTCGTAACTTTTTTTCTATTATAGATAGAAAGCTGAATCTTTCACTGAATTTTATCCCTTCCAAAGGACTACAATCCCTGAAAATTTCAGCTCATTTGCTCTTATAGTTCCTGAGATAAAATCGTGTTAAGCAATTTGGGGTGATTTATCAATTTTTCAATTTTTCTGAGTGCCTTTTTTCATAGATTTCGGCTTCAAATCTGAGAATAATTTTGTGTATGGAGTTCAGAGTATCACGAGGGACCAGTAGGACACAAAATCTCGAAAAAAAAAAAATTGAAATTTCATCATTTTAGTAAGAATTAAGGTATCCCCCTTATGATTTTTTCGGAAAACTTTCAAAGGTCGTAACTTTTTTTCTATTATAGATAGAAAGCTGAATCTTTCACTGAATTTTTTCCCTTCCAAAGGACTACAATCCCTGAAAATTTCAACTCATTTGCTCTTATAGTTCCTGAGATAAAATCGTGTTAAGCAATTTGGGGTGATTTATCAATTTTTCAATTTTTCTGAGTGCCTTTTTTCATAGATTTCGGCTTCAAATCTGAGAATAATTTTGTGTATGGAGTTCAGAGTATCACGAGGGACCAGTAGGACACAAAAGCTCGAAAAAAAAAAAATTGAAATTTCATCATTTTAGTAAGAAGGTATCCCCCTTATGATTTTTTCGGGAAACTTTCAAAGGTCGTAACTTTTTTTCTATTATAGATAGAAAGCTGAATCTTTCACTGAATTTTATCCCTTCCAAAGGACTACAATCCCTGAAAATTTCAGCTCGTTTGCTCTTATAGTTCCTGAGATAAAATCGTGTTAAGCAATTTGGGGTGATTTATCAATTTTTCAATTTTTCTGAGTGCCTTTTTTCATAGATTTCGGCTTCAAATCTGAGAATAATTTTGTGTATGGAGTTCAGAGTATCATGAGGGACCAGTAGGACACAAAATCTCGAAAAAAAAAAAATTGAAATTTCATCATTTTAGTAAGAAGGTATCCCCCTTATGATTTTTTCGGGAAACTTTCAAAGGTCGTAACTTTTTTTCTATTATAGATAGAAAGCTGAATCTTTCACTGAATTTTATCCCTTCCAAAGGACTACAATCCCTGAAAATTTCAGCTCGTTTGCTCTTATAGTTCCTGAGATAAAATCGTGTTAAGCAATTTGGGGTGATTTATCAATTTTTCAATTTTTCTGAGTGCCTTTTTTCATAGATTTCGGCTTCAAATCTGAGAATAATTTTGTGTATGGAGTTCAGAGTATCACGAGGGACCAGTAGGACACAAAATCTCGAAAAAAAAAAAATTGAAATTTCATCATTTTAGTAAGAAGGTATCCCCCTTATGATTTTTTCGGGAAACTTTCAAAGGTCGTAACTTTTTTTCTATTATAGATAGAAAGCTGAATCTTTCACTGAATTTTATCCCTTCCAAAGGACTACAATCTCTGAAAATTTCAGCTCATTTGCTCTTATAGTTCCTGAGATAAAATCGTGTTAAGCAATTTGGGGTGATTTATCAATTTTTCAATTTTTCTGAGTGCCTTTTTTCATAGATTTCGGCTTCAAATCTGAGAATAATTTTGTGTATGGAGTTCAGAGTATCACGAGGGACCAGTAGGACACAAAATCTCGAAAAAAAAAAAATTGAAATTTCATCATTTTAGTAAGAATTAAGGTATCCCCCTTATGATTTTTTCGGAAAACTTTCAAAGGTCGTAACTTTTTTTCTATTATAGATAGAAAGCTGAATCTTTCACTGAATTTTATCCCTTCCAAAGGACTACAATCCCTGAAAATTTCAGCTCATTTGCTCTTATAGTTCCTGAGATAAAATCGTGTTAAGCAATTTGGGGTGATTTATCAATTTTTCAATTTTTCTGAGTGCCTTTTTTCATAGATTTCGGCTTCAAATCTGAGAATAATTTTGTGTATGGAGTTCAGAGTATCACGAGGGACCAGTAGGACACAAAATCTCGAAAAAAAAAAAATTGAAATTTCATCATTTTAGTAAGAATTAAGGTATCCCCCTTATGATTTTTTCGGAAAACTTTCAAAGGTCGTAACTTTTTTTCTATTATAGATAGAAAGCTGAATCTTTCACTGAATTTTATCCCTTCCAAAGGACTACAATCCCTGAAAATTTCAGCTCGTTTGCTCTTATAGTTCCTGAGATAAAATCGTGTTAAGCAATTTGGGGTGATTTATCAATTTTTCAATTTTTCTGAGTGCCTTTTTTCATAGATTTCGGCTTCAAATCTGAGAATAATTTTGTGTATGGAGTTCAGAGTATCACGAGGGACCAGTAGGACACAAAATCTCGAAAAAAAAAAAATTGAAATTTCATCATTTTAGTAAGAAGGTATCCCCCTTATGATTTTTTCGGAAAACTTTCAAAGGTCGTAACTTTTTTTCTATTATAGATAGAAAGCTGAATCTTTCACTGAATTTTATCCCTTCCAAAGGACTACAATCTCTGAAAATTTCAGCTCATTTGCTCTTATAGTTCCTGAGATAAAATCGTGTTAAGCAATTTGGGGTGATTTATCAATTTTTCAATTTTTCTGAGTGCCTTTTTTCATAGATTTCGGCTTCAAATCTGAGAATAATTTTGTGTATGGAGTTCAGAGTATCACGAGGGACCAGTAGGACACAAAATCTCGAAAAAAAAAAAATTGAAATTTCATCATTTTAGTAAGAATTAAGGTATCCCCCTTATGATTTTTTCGGAAAACTTTCAAAGGTCGTAACTTTTTTTCTATTATAGATAGAAAGCTGAATCTTTCACTGAATTTTATCCCTTCCAAAGGACTACAATCCCTGAAAATTTCAGCTCATTTGCTCTTATAGTTCCTGAGATAAAATCGTGTTAAGCAATTTGGGGTGATTTATCAATTTTTCAATTTTTCTGAGTGCCTTTTTTCATAGATTTCGGCTTCAAATCTGAGAATAATTTTGTGTATGGAGTTCAGAGTATCACGAGGGACCAGTAGGACACAAAATCTCGAAAAAAAAAAAATTGAAATTTCATCATTTTAGTAAGAATTAAGGTATCCCCCTTATGATTTTTTCGGAAAACTTTCAAAGGTCGTAACTTTTTTTCTATTATAGATAGAAAGCTGAATCTTTCACTGAATTTTATCCCTTCCAAAGGACTACAATCCCTGAAAATTTCAGCTCATTTGCTCTTATAGTTCCTGAGATAAAATCGTGTTAAGCAATTTGGGGTGATTTATCAATTTTTCAATTTTTCTGAGTGCCTTTTTTCATAGATTTCGGCTTCAAATCTGAGAATAATTTTGTGTATGGAGTTCAGAGTATCACGAGGGACCAGTAGGACACAAAATCTCGAAAAAAAAAAAATTGAAATTTCATCATTTTAGTAAGAATTAAGGTATCCCCCTTATGATTTTTTCGGAAAACTTTCAAAGGTCGTAACTTTTTTTCTATTATAGATAGAAAGCTGAATCTTTCACTGAATTTTTTCCCTTCCAAAGGACTACAATCCCTGAAAATTTCAACTCATTTGCTCTTATAGTTCCTGAGATAAAATCGTGTTAAGCAATTTGGGGTGATTTATCAATTTTTCAATTTTTCTGAGTG